AAACCTAGAACCTCACCTGGCAGGAAGCCGCTTCCCTGTCCCCCAGACCCAGGGCAGCGCAGCCCCCTCGCGCAGGGCCCTCAAGGGGGAGATCTGTCATCTGTCCCCCGTGTCTGGCCCACGGCCCAGGTGCAGCTTCTGTCTCTTGCCCTTCCCCCGCCCCTTTCTCCTTCCTGCTGGGCTCCTCACCTCCAGTCTCCCTTTTCAGTCCACCCACTGAGACCCTCCCTCTGTCAACAATGACCCTCCCTCGTCCTGCTCTTGTGGGCCCCGCCCCTTGAGCTGGGCCTATCAGAGGAAGGTGTGCAAGGGCGTGCAGTCCCCAACAGAGCCCAGGCCCTGGGCTGGCCGAGCCAGGAGGCCTCAGGGACGGCCTAGAGCAACACCAACGGCGGGAGGGTCAGCTCCAAGTCACTCCGCCAGGAGCAGTGTCCAGCCTCCCACGCTCAGGGCAGCCCTTCTCCCACCTCCCACGGCGCCCGTCCTCGCCCCCACCCTCTCTGCTCGCCCTGCTCCCCAGCTCCCTTATGTCCCTCCCACAGCCTGTCCTCTGTGCGTCCCCCGGCCCCCGGCCCCCGGCCCCAGCGCCTGCCTCTCTACCGACCCCAGGCCTCCCGGGAGAGCCAGGAGAGGGGAGCCCTCTCTGAGGGCTCGCCTCTGGTGGGGGCTGCGTGTGAACTCCACTGAGACAGGCAGTGAAATGTGGACGCTGCACCCCTCCACCTCCTGGACCTCAGCTCTGGCCAGTCCTGCCCCCGCTTGTCTTGGGGCACTGGAGGCGGGACTGGTCTCCGCTGGGGCCTGGGCCTGGGCCTGGGGGTGCTGGGGTAGGGGGCGGAGGCAGGACTCAGCAGACGGTCGGACCTGACTCTCCCCCAGGTTGTCATCAACCCCAACTACGAGGTCGCGGAGTCCGACTACACCAACAACATCATGAAGTGCAGGACCCGCTATGATGGCCACCGCATCTGGATGTACAACTGCCACATAGGTAAGACCCCGGGCAAGCACAGCAGCCCCAGGACTGGACCCCCAGCCTGCCAGGCCCACCCCCGCAGCCCACCGTGCAGGAGACAGGCGAGAGCCTCCCTCCTTTCTCAAGGGGCCAGAGCAGCTTCCTAATTTGGGTCCAGAGCTCAGGGAACACAGCCAGCCTCTCGTGCCCACACGTGGGAAGGGTGCCGCAGACACTAACCTAGGTGCTGATTGGGTTTCGCAGCCAGCTCTGGCCACGGGGGTGGGACCCGACCGGGGGCCCAGCACACACTCCGAAGCTATTATTTAAGGGTAGGAGCCAAGGCCACCGCCTCCTCACACACACAACCTCAAAAATGTGGGCGTCGGCCCTTTGCAGCTCTGTGGATCATTTTCCTCTGTCGAGAACTGGAGGCTGGTGCACCAATGTGGCTTCTGGTCGCCAAAAAGGAAACTGTTCCTTGCATTACACGGCTGGGGACCCAGAAGGGGAGGCAGAGCTTTCTCTTCTGCAGGAAACGCGATGGCCCTCACTCTTGGTGGTTACTCACCGCTCTGCGTAACTGACAGCGCACCTGACCTGTGCCCGGGCCCAGTGGCTGCCCTGGTGGCATCACAAAGAGGTGGCCCTGGCAGGCCACCTGCTGGGGGTGGTGGCTCCAGGGCCCTTGAGGCCGACCGCCCCCGCCAGGGCAGGGCCTGAGCCTCTGGTCGCTAAACTCTGCCTCCCTCGTGCTCGCCCCGCAGGCGGTTCCTTCAGTGAGGAGACGGAAAAGAAGTTCGAGCACTTCAGTGGGCTCCTAGATAACCAGCTCTCCACGCGGTAGGGCCGCCTCTGTGTCACCTCCCGCCTCCGGGCCACAGCGCATCTTCCCCAGCTGCAGTCTGACCGATGGATCGCCATGCCCTGCCTCACCCAGTCCAGCCCCTGCTCCGCCCGGGCGCCCTGCGGCCACAGCCAAACTCAGGGGGAAGGGGTGTTCCCGACACTTGCGGGGGCTGCTGCACAGAGTGAGGCTTGTCCGCAGGGCCGTGGGAGAAGTGCCACCAGCCATCTCGTCCAGGGCCCCAGGTTGTCATCCACTTGTCCCATCCGAACCACAGTTCCCCCGAGTCTGACACCACAGCGCTCAGCTCACCACTGATAAAAGGGGGCCATTTTCTCCCCAGGTGCCTTGTCGGCGATACCAGCTTATCAGCCTGGGGGAGTCAGGCTGAATCCCAGTTCCCCTCTTAGGTCACTTCCAGCCAATCTGAATGCCTGGAACACTCTTCCAGTTAAACAAGCTGCCTCTGCTCTCCTCCGTTCTGTTCACCAATAGAAGTAATGCTGCCACGTTTTCTGAGCTCAGAGTTGGTGCTTCTCCCCAGTTTCTTTTGTGGTTCCATATACATTTTTGGAATATTTGGTCTAGTTCTGTGAAATACGTCATTGATATCTGGATTGGAATGTCATTGAATCTGTAGGTTGCTTTGGGTAGTGTGGATGTTTTAATGATGTTAATTCTTCCTATCCAATGAACACAGTATGTATCTTCTTATTGAAGATGCCACTTATTTGTATCTTCCTCAAATTCTTTCTTCAGTGTCTTATAATTTTCCTAGTACAGGTCTTTGGTTAAATTTATTCCTAGGTACCTCATTTTTTTTTTGTTATTGCCATAGTAAATGGGATTGTTTTCTTAGTTTCACTTTCTGATAGTTCATTATTGATGTATAGCGATGCCATCAGCTTTCCAACTGGCCGCAGCCATCAGGTAAGCCAAGACGGGTGCTGGCGAGTACGTCCAGGGGCTGTGGAGGAAGCAGCCGTCCAATGTGACGCGCTTCCTTCTCAGGGCGCGCTGCGGGCGTACCGCCAGCTTTCTGCGCGCCGCAGGGCTCCCTGCCCCTCCAGACCCAACAAAGCGTGGAGGCTGGGCTACAAGGCCAAGCAAGGCTAGGTCATATTTTGGATTCGTGTGTTGTGGTGGCCGCAAACGCCCTGTTCCTGAGGGTGCAAGCCTTCGGTCTGTTGCCAAGGAGCGAGCGGGGTGCCACTGTGGGGCTCTGGGACTCCTGAACTCGTACTGGGTTGGCGAAGATTCCACGTACAGATTCTTTGAGGTTATCTTCACTGATCCATTCCATGAGGCTCCCAGAGGGAATCCTGACACCCAGTGGATCACCAAACCGGTCCACAGCACCGGGAGACACGAGGGCCGACACCCGAGGCCCCCGAGAGCCGTGGCCTGGGGAAGGGCCCCGAGGCCCGCCACGCTGTCGGCGGGCCTCACCGTGCAGCCTGGAAAAGGCACAATACTCTCCAGCTCCACCGTGACCTCTAGTGTAACGTTTGTAAAATTCTTACCTAATAGACAATTTAGGACAGTCAAAAAGTGCCATCAATTTCCGAGTATTGATTTTGTATCCTGCTACTTTGCCAAATTCGCTTATTAGGTCTAGTGGTTTTTTGGTTGGTGGGATCTTTAGGGTTCTCCATATACAGTATCGTGTCATCTGCAAACAAAGGCAGTTTTACTTCTCCCTTTCCAATCGGATGCCCTTTCTTTTCCTTGCCTGATGGCTGTGGCTAGGACTTCCAGTAGTACTCTGTTGAATAAAAGAGGTGAGGGTGAACATCCCTGTCTTGTTCCTGGGCTTAAGGGGAACACTTGTAGTTTTTGCCCATTGAGTATGATGCTGGCTGTGGGCTCGTCATACGTGGCCTTTATTATGTTTAGGTATGTTCCCCTCTATTCCCACTTTGCCAAGAGTTTTTGTCATAAATGGGTGCTGGATTTTATCAAATGCTTTTTCTGCATCTATATGATCACATGGCTTCTATCCTTCATTTTGTTATTTTATTTTCATGGACTTGGAAACACAAAGTAGTAGTATTTATGTTGGCAGTCTAGGCCTTTGAGAATATAGCGCAAAAGGAAAACTCGGCCACCTGTGTAAGTGACTCACGCTTCTGTTGTTGATTCTGGGGTAACTGTTAACGGTGCTATAACCAGGGTCCTGGGTGACGAGGACACTCACCGAACACCATGTGTCATCACAGACACTTACACATACTTGAAACTTGGAATAAAAGGTGTGCGATACGCGCCTGTGTCTCATTTGGAACGCCGCACCCAGCCCCGGGCAGCAGCGCTCCTGCCCGTCGGCCTGAGGCAGCCTCCGCCGCGCGCGTCCACTTCGGCAGAGCCGGGGTCCGGTGTGGCCACAGCGGGCCTCCTTCCACACGCCGCCAAAGGGGCAACTCCTGCCCGCTGAGAGCAGTCTAAGGAGGTCACAAAACTCAACAAAAGTCAAAGTCCCGGCCTTTCCGGAGCTCTTGCTTTTGACTGAAATTTGTCAGGAGGCACAGCAGTTGCATTAGGACCAGAGGGACAGTTAGACTGTCCCAGGGAACCCCCACAAGGCAGGGCCTGGGCCGGCTGAGAGGGATAGGGTGGGGCCGCAGGGTGCGCGCGTCTGCAGAGCGGGGTCCAGAGCGCGTCCCAGCACAGCGAGGGTGGGCGGCCGGCCAGCCAGCCCCTCGCCCAGACCCAGGCTCCTGCTTGTGCCAGGCCCGTGCCAGCAAACTGCCCCCACAACGACCTCAAAGCAGCTCCGCTCCAACTCCAAACAAACCAGAAGTACCATGGGACCTGAACCCACAAAGGGGCCCTTGCATCTGTCCCTGTGATGGAGGCAAACTCTCTAGCCATCTCAGGTCCCACCTCTCTTGGCTTTGCTTGTGTTTATATCACAAGAATCCGTTCTGGGGCGCAGGGCCGTCAGCTCCGCGACACCCACAGCCACGCTGCAGCTCCCGGTGGCAGGTAGGACACCCCACTTGTGAGGGGAGACAGCGCAGGCATCATACACTGGGCGCGACCTGCCTCCCGCCCCCCAGCCGGGCAGGCTCTGTGCAGTAAGCCTCGCAGGCCCAGCGGAACCCTCCGGGCCAGTCTCCCCAAGTGACCAATTTCTTCAGCGCCCCCAGGTCTAAAATGGGAGACAAACAGCACCCCCTGGTGTCCCACGGTAGATCATTATTTTGAAGCAATCACATTATAACATTTTATTTTTTGTCTCCATTTCTGAAACTAAACTGAAGCCCACAGCGCCCCAGTGATGCCCCACACTCCCGTGGGAGCACAGGGCTGTTCTCTCTGTACAGGCTGTGGCATCGGGGCGCCAGCAAGTCCTGGGGAGGCGGAGCCAGGCCGGCCAGGCGGGCTGGCCGCTCAGGGCCTCGCGGAGGTAGGAGACGCAACAGCAGGCCGCTCTCTCTGCTTGTGCTGAAGCCCCAGGGCCCGGGCCACCAGCCTCCGCGCCACTGCTGTGCTTGTCTGTGGTCTCTCCTTTGCCAGACGCAGGAGCTCTAAAAGGAACAGGGACTTGAATTCAAGGCCATGGCCACCTCTCCTCCCAGAGACACAGAGGCCATCGGAGCCAACCTCGCTGTGCCTGTAGCATGGTCAGGCGCTAGTGAGGGGCCACCTGGGGCTGCCAGGTCCTGCCCTAACGCTGCCACTTGTCTGTGGCCTTCCTGTTTCTGCACCTGCACAGGGAGGGGGAGGAGTCAACCCCCTTCACCTCCCTACTTTGCAGGGCCATTTGGGAGGGAAATCAAGTCAGGACCGGGATACCTAGAGCTGGACGACCCACAGGATATTTACTGTCCCCAAAAAGAATGGGACAAAGGCCACACAAGCCACAAGAGTGGATGGTGTCAGCAGGCTTCTTTTGGGCTAGTTTTGCTGGCCACTACTTTGCAGCCACAGAAAACTGGCCTCCGAAAGACCCCTTCACGCTTCCCGGAAGGGGAGGGGCTGCCATCTATTTGGCACCTTTCGGGTGCCGCTTGCCTCCCCTGGCGGGTCTGCCACTCTTTGACCCACGCCCCCGGCACGCTCTATACGCATCTGCTTGCTTTACAGAGAAGGAAGCCAACTCAGACATCAGGTGACTGGCTCAAGGTCAACCTAAGTAAGTGACAAAGCCAGGATCACACGTCCTGTGGACTCTTTTTAACCCACTGAAAATTGTGGTTCCCATGGGCTTGCAGAAAAGACCACACTTATCCCTGAGCAGCGCCCAGCAGAGGGGCGAACAGGAGGGCACACCGCCCTCCCCGCTGGGCCCTGCCTTCCCTGGGCATCCCCAAGCCCCGGGGGCGGAAGGAGCACCACGGAGCCCGGGCGCCACGCAGAGGGCCTGTCCCTGAGCAAGGGGGCCCGAATCGCAGGAGAGGGCCCGCACATAACCGCGCGCGCACGGCCCCCAGCGGGCGCAGCCCCTCCCGTACTTGGCCTCTGCAGGGCTTTCAGCTTTGACTGCTTGCTCCCCTGCGTGAGGGGCCGGATCTTGAGCCCTGAGAAATCCTTGGTCAGGGCTTCAGCAGCTGTGGAAAGAAAACAGAGCTGGAGTCCCCCTCGCCTCTTCCTGGCGAGGCCCTCAGGGCCCAGGAACACACAACACCAAACCCAAAATGAACGCAGCCACTTCGTGCCCCATTCAGAGCCCAGGGACAGGGCCGCCCAGATGCCACTGTGCCATGGGCCCGCCCCGCCCCCAGCCCCGCATGCCGCCAGGGGCCACCTGTGCTCTCAAAAGGAAAGCCTGCAGAGCCAGTGTCCACCCTCTGCCCCGGCCTGCTCAGGGGCCCCCGTCTTCTAGAGCCTGGGAGCCTCAGACAAACTCTACCCTCTCCCCAACTCGAGACCCCGCTGGGGCGCACGTGCTCCCTGCTCGGCGTTGTGCCTGAGCTACCTACAGACACAGCATGTCAGAGCCGGGGCGGGGGACTCACGTCCAAGCCTCCCCCCGTCACCTTTGTAGGTGAGAAAACAGGCCAGGACGCGACGTGCTGGTGCCACGCAGCCTGGCAGGGCACAGAAGGCAGCCGCGGCCCGGCCAGGCCAGGGCTCGTCCCCTCCACTGCACCGGGCGGCCTCCCGGCCTCCCCTCCGCCTCCCTCTCCGTCGGCGCTCTCCCTGGGGCTGCAGCCCCCACCGGGCCCTGGTCCCCTGGCCCCAGGTTCTCCTGAGAACTGAGCCCACACCAGCTATGGCCTCTCCCAGCTCGTGTTCAGAAGCCCAGCCAAGAGGGGAGGGGGGTCACTCTATAAATACACCCGAAGTGAACGGTATGAGAGGGCAGCTCAGGGAAGCGACCGAGGGGGAGAAGGAACCTCCTGGAGTTCCAGCCAGGGGGCTGGGCTGAGGCCCCAGCTTTGACGCTGAGAAGCTTCATGACCCTGAATGGACCACTGACGCTCTGGGAACCCTGGCCTCCCCATCTGCAAAAGAGAGGTGCCCACTTCTTGAGGCTGTAATGGAACTGAGTGAGAACGCCTGTGTTTGAGCCACACAGTGGCCAGGATCTGAATACTTTTGACCTATAAAAACTGCACATTCACGCAGTTTCACTTACTATGTGGAAGGACCGGAGGCCTGGCTTCTGACATGGGTCCAGTGTCCCCTGAGCCCTAATGTGAGCAGGAAAGGCTGTGTGCGGCCTGACACAGAGCCCACCCTGCTCCCTGGGCTTCTCAGCTCGGGGGGCGGCCATAGGCCCACTGCCCGGACAGGATGGTCTACACCCGGGAAACCAAGGCCGCCCCCCTCAGCGACGGAGAAAGGGCCGGGTCCACCGCGAAGCCGCGTTACCTGAGGCCACACAGGGGAAGACGCCAAGGGCGTGCGTGTCGTCCACCCACTGGATCTTGACCTCCTTCTCTCTGAGACGGGGAATAGGACACAGAGTGACTACGAAAGCAAATGGACAGAGCCCGTCCTGCTAAAGGAAGTCCCCTCCCACCTCCAGCCTTCAACCACTGTGAGCCCAAGCCACGCTCCCTCTCCTCCGGGAGAGAGACGACCGCCCGCAGCCGACCCTCTCTGAGGACCACGTGCGTAGCTGCAGAAAGACACCACCTCCCCACTGGCCAGGCGGGCCCTGATTCCTGGGTCGGAAGAAGCCAGGCCCCAGATGCACAGCACGACCAGGGGTGAGGGAGGCTCCTCTAGGCCCTGTCAGAGCCGGGCCGAGCGCGTGGGGCGAGGCTGGAGACAAGAGGGTTCTGCGGCTGGGACAAGGGATAGAACCTACAATGTGCATGGCGCTGGTGCTGCTCCTGGTCAGCTTCCTTCCCACCGCTCAGGAAAGCACCGCTGGGTCGGAAGGCCACCAGAGGCCAAAACGGTCCCTCCCCCAAGCCCAGTCCCTCTGCAGACACTGACTACACTGGTGGCCCCAGGCTGGCCACACCTTCGGGGGACGGGAGCAAGTGAGCCCCGCGTGCCCCACCCCCACCCCTTCCTCTCTCCTCCAGCTCAGAGTCCGGAGGACACGGAGGGTGGCAGAGCTGTCAGAAAAGGGGCCACGAAGACAGGGACTGTTAAAAGCCTAAGCGGGGAAAGAGAATGGGGCTTAGACAAAGGGAAGTGAGCATTCAAAGAAAAAAAAAGGGAAAGGGAGAAAAGGCGGGTTGGCGTTAAGGAGTGTGGGGGAACAGGGGCAGGCTTCTCCCAGTATGTGCCTCCATCGCCACCCCGACTCTTCCCCAGAGCTCACTCCCCTCAGGGACGCTCCTGCGTGGAGGCAGGCGGCCCCCCGCCTGCTGACTGCCCCACTGGGAGGCTGGCGTGCGGAGCAAGGGGGTCGAGGGCCAGGGACGGGCTACCGGCACCCCGCATCCCGCAGCAGGGTCCCACGGGGGCCTGGCAGGCATGCGGACGTGCGGGGGCAGGCGGAGGAGCTGCGCGGGCCAGCAGAGTCAGGTCTGGGGCGTCTGGAACATGTCGACGACCAAAAATCGCTCTCCTCTTCCCTCCCGTCACGGCCAGTAGGCTGAACTGCCCGGAAGTATGGAGCCCCAAACAACAACATCCACTTTCTGCCTTTCCTTCCAGAGGGCTGGGTGCCAGCGGAGGGGCAGGCAAGTGTACCCAACAACATAGGGACGCCCTAGCTCCTCTCCGGATTCTGCCTCCCGAAGCCTCGCCCACACTCACTGGAACTCGGAAAAAGCTGCCAACAGGTCCTCGGTCTTGAGTGCCGGCTCAAAGTCGTAGATCTCCACCACGTGGGCAAAATCCTGCTCTCCGGGCAGCTCCTCTACGAAGGGGGATGTGTCCACATGCACCTTCTCTACCTGGATCTCCTTCTCAGTCAGGTTGTCCGTTATCTGGGGAGAGCGAACCCGTTAGTGAAGGGCTCCCCATGACTGCTTGCAAAACCACACACAGGCCTGCAGGCTTCTGGCAGGCAGGGGGTGCGTGCTGGGGGGCTTCCCATGGGAGCCGCACCCGGCAGGGGTCTCAGAGAGGCAGCATGACAGCACGTTGGCCTGGAGGATGGAGGAGGCTGCGTCCTGGGGGAGGGAACTTGCTTTACGGAGTCCCCACTGGGTGACGCACTCACACACACTGTTTCATGGAATCCTGAAAACTACTTACTCTACGTACCCCCTTTACACCTGGGAACACTGTAAATCAGAGCTAAATAATTCTGCCCGAAGTTGCACAGTCAGTAAGAGACAGAGCTGGGTAAGTCCAGGATCTTTCCTTCCCTCCTTAATGATGTGACATTAAGCAAATCTTTCTGGTCGTCCTTCACCTATAAAATAGCAATAAAAGGTGCCGGCCCTCCCGACTGAACACGACAGCCAGTCTCAGGGAGACACACAATCCGGGGGGACAAGATTTGTGAGACGAAGCTTCAGGCAGAAGAGTAGTTTTCATGACCAACATCTGTAGCCCCTTACAAGTGAAATAAGCCCGTTGGTGACAAATACCACATGATCTCACTTATAAGAAGAATCTAATGAACAAAATAAACTAACAAGAAAAACAGAACCAGAGACATGGAGACATGGAACCAACTGACAGCTGTAGGAAGGGAAGAAAGAGGGGGAATGGTGGAAGGAAGGGGAAGGGACTAGTCAAAGAACATGTACAACTGACCCAGGGACATGGACAATGGTGTGGGGACTGACTGTGGGCGAGACAGGTGGGCGGGGTGGAGGAGGGCAAAAGGGAAAAAAGTTGGGACAACTGTAATAGAATAAACAATAAAAATAAATAAATGAAAACAAGCCCACATACATCCTATCTGTGTTACCTTGTGAAGGATGTATTACCATCTGCCTCTCAGGTGAGGAAACTGAGACTCAGAAAAGCAAAATGACTTTTGAGCCCATAGTCTAATGGCTCCTAGGTGGCTGAGCTAGGACCCAAATCCACACCCCTGACACAGCGTCCTTGACCTTTCTCCCCTCCACTGTGTGAGGCTTGACTTCTGTGGACAAGACTGCCGTGCACGCCCCCCGTGTCTCCTAAGGACCCTGTCACCCCGCTCCCAGCCCTGCTCCGAGAGCACGTGCCCCACACACCATGACCCTCGGTCCCATCCACCCGGAACGGCACCCACCTCACTTCCGCCCTCCCTTTTCCGGGCTTAAGAGCCTCATCACCTCCTGCAGCAGCTCACTGTACTCGTCCTCGGAGCAGCCGCCGGGCCCCGCCTCTTCCACGTCTTCCTCTCCCTCCTCTGCCGCCAGGCTCTTCTCCAGCTCGCCCCCACTCCCCTCTTCCAGATCCGGCTGCAGACCGGCCGAAAGCTGTGTGGCCTTCTCCAGGCTGTCCCCCGTCGCTGGGAGGCTCCCAGGTCCCGAGGGCTGAGCGTCCCCTGGGTCCAGCAACTGCTCGTTCTCACAGCGCTGGCCCGGGCCCTTTAGGTCCTCTGTTGCCTCAGTCATCAACACAGGGCATTCCTGATCAGAGCTGGGGTCCCCAGCACCGACATCCGCAGGCTCTTCCAGGCGCCTGCCAGCTGGGGCATCACCCTGGAGCCCCGGGGCAGGGGCCAGCGTCCTTTCTTCTTGCCTGCGCAGTACCCGAGGCACATATAAAGCCTGGTCCGGCTTGCGTCCCCGTTGCCCCCGACCTGCCCGTGCCCCTCGGGGTGTAGAAGCCACTCCCTGGTTTGAGGTGAGCCAAGGACCTCGGTACTTGCTAGGGTTGGAGGCAGGAGGGCGGCAGGGGCCAGAGAGTCCATCTGAGCTGGGTAACCTGAAGCAGAAACAGAAGGGGATCTGAGCACGTCTGGGCCCCAGGAACATGATTTACTGGAGCTACCTGCCTTCCAGGCATGAGGCCCTCAAGTCAGCATTAGGCAAAACCAATGCCAAAATGACCCTTGAAAATCGCTTAAGGCATCATAGCGGGGGCTGAATGCTATCTCTGAACAAGCCCACAGCAGCCAAGCTCTCCCTCCAGTGTTTAAACTGAATTAGAGATGGCTGAACCTTCGAATATGTACCAGGTAAATACTTGCATTTAGGGATTGCGTTACTAGAAAAATATTGAATGTGGTTGGATCCCAAGTTCCCATGCGCGCGCGCCCGCGTGTGTATATAAGCACGAGGCTCAGAGTCACTATAAGATCCTGCAGGACACACGTGGAAACAGAGGTGAGTGAAGGCTCAGATGAGCTTCCCACAGTCATTCCTGGCCTCTGGGGCACATGCTCCCTGAGTCACAGGCCCTCAACTGCTCTCTCTCCTCCTCTCTCCAGGCCCAACATGCAGAGTTGAATCTGCTGAGTGAATCCCACCGGCAATGCACAGCTACTCCACTGCTGGAACAAAAGGCAGCGCTGGCTTTAAGCAACTGAGGCTGAAGACAGAGGCAGCAGCATCGGGGCTCCCCGCCCTGAGTTCCCAACAAGCTCTCCCCTCCCAGGGACTGACTCGATCCCTCCCTGCCCACCCACCAGAGCCACAGAGGGCCCTCAAAGGCAGCAGGATACACACCTGACGTCCAGGTGACAGACGACTGTCCTCCTCTTCCAGCCCTCCCCAACAGAGAAGCTACTCAAAAGGTCGAAATGCTCTGCTGTTCTATGGATCAGGTACCGAAGGCGACTGGAGAGTGGGGGGAAAAGCAGCACCCTAGGGAGGGGCAGAAGGAGTGCTGAGCAGGGGCTCCCGGGGCGGCCTCTGGGGCCTGACCGCCACCAGGTGCACTCCCAGTTTAAAGGTGGCTTAACATTAGGCTCCTTCTGCCCACTGGAGTCAGGCTGACGGCAAAGGACCTGAGCATAAGGGTTGTCACAGGGAGCAACTGGTCCGGCCCTTCCTGCCCCCAACCCCCGCCATTCCTGTGTTAGGCCCCATTGAGGCTGGAAGTTAATGCTCAGAATGACATGGGAAAAAATGTAACTGGGAGAGGCCAGAAAGCAGATCGTTAGCCAAAAGGCCAAAGTCAGAGTCAGCTGCAGGCCTGTTACCCGGGGTGCACCACTAGGGAAAGGGGCAGAGGGGGCGGGGTGCAGCTCGCCTTTCCTAGCAGCAGGGCAGGCCCCTCCAACACCCTCGCTCCAGCCTACTTGGACAGCTGCTTCTGCAGCAGGAAGCGGTCCAGCTCCTCCTGGACGCGGTGCACAAAGTCATTCTCGGTAGGGGAAAGGAAGACGCCGTCCAAGCAGAGAAGGGCCAGGATGATAGGAGGGAGGGCCTGTGGAGCAGACGGCCAGGGCCTGAATCAGAGCACAGATCCCGAGCCACCCCAACCCCGCAGTGCCGGTGCTGCAAGGGCCTTGGGGCCATCGTGGTCCTGGTCTCTCCTCCGACAAAAGAGAAGCAGGGACGTGCCCAGGGCCGCTGGCACAACAGCAGATGGGCACCGGAGGGGCTCCAGGCCCCGCTGGCGCCCGCGGCTGTAGGGCCTTTGCGCCCGGGCTCTTGGCCCGGGGGGTAAGAGTCAGAGAGGCCGGGGCCGCCTCGAGCCTGCTCAGCGGGCGCGGTCGGCCCTCCCCAACCCAGGTGCGAGAGGCTGGGAGGGCCCGGGCGGGCCGCGACGGAGTTGCCCGCCCCAGGCCCGGCTCCCGCACTCACCCGAGCCGTCCCAAGAGCCTCCGCCGCCCCGAGGGTACTCAGAAGCCCGCACGCCCTTTCGCGCGGCACAAAAAGTTGGGACTTGGCGGAGGCGCAGCGCCACCGCGCGACCCGGGGGAGACATCGCAGAAGAGACAGAGGGCGTGTGATTGACTTCTTTTTTTTTTTCTTCTTTTTTCTTTTCTTTTTTTTTGCCCGGGAGCGCACGTAGTGTCCTAGGATCAATTACATCCAGTGAAGACTTTGAGTGGCTCCTATTTATGAGGTCGTGCGGGTACCAGAGTTTTGTGCTTCACTGTCCTTCCTTGGCCCTTACTGATGGAACCTGTAAAGAGGTCCAACCCTCATTAAAGGGTCATTAACCAGGGGCACCAGCCTTGTGGATAACAGGCCAGAATATGGCTTGTTGATTTGCAGGCCATCAATTATACTGCCTTACTACATCCAGAAAAAACTCTAGCACCCATCTTAAATAGGGCTTGTAAATCTGGCTATGGAACAAGGGCTACAATAATCTAGGAGACCAAGGTTGAAATCCATCCTGCTGTGTCCTGAAAGGTGCTGAACTGTAAGCCCTTGAGCATCCTGAATTCAGAATTTGAGAGCAAGCTGGGCCCGAGTGACCAGCACCGAAGGCCCAGGTCTTAGGAAAGGAGTGGGAGAGTCCAAGTGAGGTCTTTCTAGGATCTATGGGTGAGGTCAGGGGAAGAGGACACCTCCCAAGGCCGGCTGGGAGAAGAGGCCTGGGGACAGAAAAATGGAGGAAGATTAAGATACACTTTGCCCTCTTGCCATTTTTCCCAGAGTATTTCTTAAGAAGATGGTGGTATTATATCACATTTATGAAAACTATCTTTCCAATGGTTTTTCAAGAATAAAAAGGACCCTGACTGTTGTGGTTCAGTGGGTTGGGCATCGTCCCACAAACAGAAACGTTGCCGGTTGGATTCCCAGTCAGGGCACATGCCTGGGTTGCAAGCCAGGTCCCCGACTGGGTGTGTGCGAGAGGCAACCTGATGTTTCTCTCACACATCCATGTTTCTCTCCTTCTCTTTCTCCCTTCCTTCCCCTTTCTCTAAAAATAAATAAATAAAATCTTTTAACAAAGAATAAAAAGACCTTGACTAAAGACAAGACCAAATGCAAAGAGAACTCAGGGAGCCAAGTAAGTCGTGAGCCTCGGGGAGGGGGCATGACTGTGAGAGGAGATTCTGAGGGCTTGACAGGTCCCCTGCCCCAGCCTGTGGCCTGGAGGAGCGTCCAACCCCGGGCCGGGGTGGGCCAGGGGGTGAGAGGGCAGCAGGACAGACAGGGGACAGGGGTCCTGACTTTGCCAGCCCCCTCCCTCACCCCATCCTGGCTTAACTGAAGTGGGAGCAGACCCAAGAGGAGGCTGGGTGCCCGTGTAATGGCCTTGTTTTGTCTGACCAGACTTTCCTGACTGGCGGTGGGAGGCTGGGAGGCAAGCCCACTCAGCAGCTATGGGACCAGACACAACCTGGGAGAAATCTGCCTGCTGGCTGAAAACAAAGGCCCAACTTTCTCAGCAAAGTCCCCGTCTCTCCTCAAAATGGAGGGACAAACCAAAAACCCGGGGGACAAGCTGCACCTCCACCTCTTCGAGCTGGTTTGTGAGAGAGGGATTCAGAGGAAAGCCGCTCCTGAGCCCCGCTTCTACCACAGCGCCTTCCAGTAACTCAGGCCGAAAGGAAGAGAAGCGTCAGCATGCAGGCCTCTGCCGTGCGGCGCGGAAATAAATGGAGCAGGGGCCCAAAGTTTGTCTACCCACTCTCTGTGATGACAAATAGCAGATGAGGACAGAATGGTTCCCATTCAAAGGAAAATAAACAGAACAAAAAGCAGCACAAAGGATATGCAGAATTTCTACAGCAAAAAATAAAACATAGCAGAAAAGAGAGGATAAGAGTGTATTGGAAGATTCTCTTGGGGACATAAAAAGAAGAAAATTTCAGTTAATAACTGCTTCATGTTCCCAAGGAAATCAACGAAGCCTGATTTCCATGTCACAATGGATAAATCGACAGACTGAAATGAAAGAGAACTGCCAGAGCCGCGGAAAGATGTGAAAGAGGCAATCACGCTCCTCACAGAAGCAGCAAAAACCACAGCCCGCCATGCTGCTAACCAGTCAGTGGCCCGGAGTAAAGGCTCGTGAAAACAAAGACAGCTACTGGCTCTGTAAAGCTTGCTGGGTAAACTGCAAGTGTTTAAGCTTCACGGCAGGCCCTGCAGCTGCAGCTTCTCACCCGGAAGAACCACCTGAGGGCACCCAGCTACTGAGGGCAGAGCTGGAACTCACTCAAATCCAGGTCTAGCCTGACTGCCACCGAACACCCCAAAACTAAGATTTTCCTTTTTTAGGACAGCCTTCGAATTGCCTCGGTGGCGTGGCCAGCAGCCCAATACAAAAGTCAGGAATTCAATAAATTAGATGGATTGGTCAGTGGGAGAAGCGAGCTAAGTGTGTGCTGTAGAATTTTACCTGAAACAGAAAGTATGATTGAAAGACCATGAAAAGACTGAATGCAGGGGCATGCATTGCAAATAGTCCTATCTGAAGGGATGGACCTGCTGCCGTAGTGACAGCTATGACCTAAATCATAGCCCAGTACAGCTTTCCTTGCCATGGGCAGGGTCACTGTGGGCACCTGTAACTCGGGAGCCTTTGTCCCAGTGTGTTGTGTCTCCTCTAAGTCACCTCAACCTGCCTGAGATGGTAATACAGGAAGTGAACTGCCAACCTGTGACTGAAGAAAACGGAAGTTCAGCTGCCTGCTGCAACAAAAGCCAAAATCACCAGGCAGGTGCTGGTGCAGAAGGAAAGAGGTTTTATTCAGGTGCCACATGACCTGGGAGAGGGGTGGACTCCCATCCCAAAGACCATCTCAACCTCTCTGCACAAGCCCAGGTTCTTATAGGGAGGGGGAGAGGGACTTTCTTCCTATCCAATTATCTTTCCAGCTTCTGGTGCTCTTGGCGCCCTATCCATCCATCTTTCTAGCTTTTGGCACGCTCAGGGCGAGAACCTCCCCCTGTTGCCACCCTGGCCAGTGGTGGAGACCCCCCAGCTCTCTGACTGCCTATAGTATTATAACAAACCCAGGCGCCTCAGCTGGCTTAAGGTGATACACTATTCTCTTCTCTTCGTGTTTAATGTTAAGTTAATGAATATCCATTCATGGCTGTTATTAAAGGCCTTTGTAATGCTAACATAGTTGTTCCATATTATATAATCTCACACATTAGGTGGCAATTCTAATTAAAAACTGAAATAGATCTCTGACTTACAATTATAAATAGGCAGATGTAGGAGTTTGTAAACAATATTACAGTGTTAAAGAGAGCTGAGCCACATTGGCCAGGGCTAGAGAACTGGATTCGCATTATTTTAAGGTCAGTAAGAGTTGTTTAAACACAGCACAGAGGAAGGTTTGCTTCAGAGCCTGCTGGGCCATCCACTTGGAACGTATAAGAAGAAAATCATGAGTTCGGGGAAGATGGAGTAAACATACATTTTCCTGTTCCACCCACCCACTGCACACAACTAAACACCCTGGACATTATGTGTAAACAAACAAGCGGACTCTGAAAAGTGGAGAGAAGAAAGCAGACCAGCCAAGGACCTCGGGTTACAACGAACAACGGAGTGGTAAGTTTCCTGGGTGTTTTTTATGCCTCAAATTCCCAGACTTGGATCTTGAAGAAGCCAGCAACCCAGAAATATCAATGGACAGAAACCCAACAAAAGCCTTTTTTCCTTTAGCCAAAGGTGCAAGCTAGCATGACAAAACACTGTCATACAGTAACTGCTCGACCACAGCCAAACACTTTCCCCATCACACCAGCACAGGGCAAGTAGGGGCCTAGGCCGTCACCCTCACCGGGTTGTAAGAGGAGCCACAACCTTCCCACCAAGACGATGCCTGAGAAGGTCAAGCAGGGAGCTCGGACTTCCACGCATTCCAAGCAGCCAAGAGCCCTGACCCTGCCCACAGCGTCAGCAGAGACCGCTAGGGAACCCGACTTCCACCCCCACCCAGCGAGAGGAAGCCACCCGCCCCGCACCCTCCCCCGGGAGTGCTGCCAGAGGAGGCCTTGTGGGCAGCCACCACCCAGAGATGAAGCGGCCACCCCCACGCCCATGGTGTCAGCAGAGACCACATTGGGAACAGCAGCAAAGCACTTCTATCCCTCCCACTAAGGAAAGTGCCCACGAAGGCCTAGGGGAAGGCCAGGACCCCCACCCCACCCAGCAGATGAAGAGCCCCCACTTCAGGTGAGGGAGCTAAATAAACGTTAACCTCCACCTGGCAGTCACAAGGCAGTGGCCCCCATTCCCCTGCTGGCGTGGTGGCAGAGAAAGGGAGCTAAACCGGGCATCAGTAAGATTCAGAACCCCGTTAACAGAGCACCCAAGATGTCCAGGATTCGATAAAAAATAACTTGTGATACCAACAACTAGGAAGATCTCAGACTCCATGAAAAAAGACAATCAATACATGCAAACAACAAGATGCCAGACATGTTAAATTATCTGACAAACATTTTAGAGTAGCCATGATAGATATGCTTCAACAAACCATTATGAACACACCTGAAATAAATGAAAAAAATAGTCTTGCCCTGGCCAGTGTGACTGACTCAGTTGGTTAGAGCATCATCCTGTAATCAAAAGATAGCGGGTTTGATTCCCAGCCAGGACACATACCTAGGTTGTGGGTTCGATCCCTGGTCTGGGCACCTATGGTCCCTGGTCTGGGCGCATAAAGGAAGCAACCAATGACGCTTCTCTCTTACCTCAATGTTTCTCTCTCTCCCTTTCTTTCTCCCTTCCTCTTTCTCTAAAAGGAATGAAAACAAAAGTTCTCAGGTAAAGATAAAAAAATATATATTTTCAGTAAAGGCACAGAAGTATATAAAAGAAAATTTTAGAATTGAAAAAATACAATTCCTAAAATAAAAAGCTCAGTAGCAGAATGGAAGGGGGAAAGAAAAGAGCCTGTGAACTGGTAAAACAATAGAAATTACCCAAACTGAACACCAAAAGAGAAAATAGGCTGAAAACAAAAGTGAACAGAGACTAGGGGATCTATGGAACTAAAACAAAAAAAATTTAACATTTGTGTAATTGAAGTCCCAGAAAGAGAGGAGAAAGAGGGTGAGGCTTAAAAAGTACTTAAAGAAATGATGGCTGAAAACTTCCCAAATTTGAAAAGAGACATAAACCAAGAGATTCAAGAAGAAAAAAATAAAACAGAAAAAAACCATAGCAATCCAAACTGAGACACATCATTACTAAATTTC